TCTCTCTCTCTCACTCCCTCTCTCTCTCTTTCTCCCTCTCTCTCCCACTCTCTCTCTCTCTCTCTCTCCCTCCCCCTCTCACTCCCCCTCTCTCTCACTCCCTCTCTCTCTCTCTCTCCCACCCTCTCTCTCTCTCGCTCTCTCTCTCTCTCCCTCCCTCCCCCTCTCTCTCTCTCTCTCTCTCCCTCCCTCTCTCTCTCTCTCTCTCTCTCTCTCTCGCTCTCACTCTCTCTCTCTCTCACTCCCTCTCTCTCTCACTCTCTCTCTCTTTCTTTCTCTCTCTCTCACACACACACAGAGACACACAGCACACAGGTACACCGTCCCCTACATTAATATATTAACGTTAGCCATTTGTAACTCAGCGCCGTTTCTGTGCGTGCATTGCTGGCGTGACGTAAGCCATGGCCTCTCGTCCCTCCATTCATTAGTAAGTTATCTTATTAATGGTGATGTAAACACGGGATACACTGGGGGAGGGGAGGAGGGAGGGGAGGAGAGGAGGGGAGGAGTGAGGGGAGGAGTGAGGGGAGGAGGGAGGAGGGAGGGAGGGGAGGAGTGAGGGGAGGAGGGGGGGAGGAGGGAGGGGAGTGAGTGAGGGGAGGGGGGAGGGGAGGGAGGGAGGGGAGGCGTGAGGGGAAGAGTGATGGAAGGAGGGAGGGGAGGAAGGAAGGGAGGAGAGGAGGGGAGGGAGTGAGGGGAGGAGGGAGGAGAGGAGGAGGGGAGGAGGGGGGGAGGGAGGGAGGGGAGGGGAGGAGAGGAGGGGAGGGAGGGAGGGGAGGAGAGGAGGGGAGGAGTGAGGGGAGGAGAGGAGGGAGGGGAGGAGAGGAGGGAGGGAGGAGTGAGGGGAGTAGGGAGGGGAGTAGGGAGGAGAGTAGGGAGGGGAGGAGTGAGGGGAGGCGTGAGGGGAAGAGTGAAGGGAGGAGGGAGGGGAGGAGGGAGGAGAGGAGGGAGGAGAGGCGTGAGGGGAGGAGGGAGGGGAGGAGGGAGGGGAGGAGGGAGGGGAGGAGGAGGGGAAGAGGGAGGAGAGAAGTTAAGGGAGGAGTGAAGGGAGGCGTGAGGGAAGGGACGAGGGGAAGCGTAAGGGAATGCGCGAAGGGAGGAGCGAGGGAAAAAATAAGGGGAGAGTAAGGGAAGGAGTGAAATGAGGAGTGAGGAGAGGGGTGAGGGGAGGGGTGAGGGGAGGAGCGAGTTGAGGAGCGAGGGAAGAAGTGAGGGGAGGAACTCATGTGTTCTTAAGTTACCACATCTCATTTATGTTTTTTTTTTATTCATATGGTACTAAAGGGGAGGCACTCGAGGGAGGCACCAGAGCCAGATGGTCAAAGAAACACGCATTTTACACGAACTCAGACCAAGAAACGGATTTTTTCAACAGTATTCGAGAAATTCCCTCAGTGGTTCGAGAACTTCATAAGAAAAAATAGGGCCTCTGCTATAATAAAAAAACAAAACAAAGGTTTGAATTATTCTCCCACGTAATTACACCGAAAAAAAATTGTACCAGTCTTGAGTAATTGGGACGAAATGGAACGAAACGAAGCTTAAGACTGGTTCTCTAGTCGTAGGTCGGGAGTCAGCCTCGCTCTCGTGTTTTCTCTGTCAACAAATCGTCTATTTCGTGTTTGAAACTCGCTGTGAGATGCTGGTTGACGTTCTCTCCCCCACCCTCTCTCTCTCTCCCTCTCTCTCTCTCTCTCTCTCTCTCTCTCTCTCTCTCTCTCTCTCTCTCTCTTTCACTCGCTCTGATGTGAAAAGTTTAAAATCTTTGTCCATTTTCATCTTCATCTTCATTCTTTTTTTCCCAAAAATTCCCTCGTTTGTCAATTTTTTTGTCTCTTTCTCCTTTCTCACCCTCTCTTTCTCCTCCTTTTGGTTAATCTCCTTTCTCTCTTTCTCTCTCTCCTCTCGCTCTTCTCTCCTTCCCTATGCCGTACATTTCTCTTCTCCTCTTCCTTCTCTTCTTTCCCCTTTAGCCATAAATAAAGAAAAAAAGAAAACAGAAAAAAGAAAATAAAGTATGGAAAAGAAAACAAACAAACTTCACCTGCCTTTCTCTTCTCCTCTCATCTCACTCTTCCTTTCTCCTTCTCATTCCCACCCTTCCCTCTTAAAAAAAGAAAAAAAAAATCTAGCCCAGAAAAAAAAGACTTTAAAACTTAAAAACAAAACTGTCCTCCTGTGTATCACCTCCCCTTCCCCCTCCCCCTCCCCCTCCCCCTTGCAACGATACGCCAACCGAAATAGCTGTCCTCATGCCCCCCCCCCCCCGTCCTAACTTCTGCCCCCCCCCCCCCCACCTCACTCTATCACGTCAGGGTGTTCGGAGTCCAAGCCAGGTGCTCTCTTAGGTGCTTCGCGTGTGCAAAATACTTGCAATTGCAGATTTTTTGCTTCTAATCTATGCGCGGATATCAGGCGAAGGGAGAAGAAGAGAGGAGGAGAAGAAGTGAGGGGGAGAGGGGGAAGGGGAGAGGGAGAAGGGGAGAAGAGTAGGAAGGAAGGAGCAAGAAAGGAGAGAAGGAGGGGAGGAGAGGAGAGGAGACAGAGGAGAGAGGAGAGAAGAGGAGAGGAGAGAGGAGAGGAGAGAGGAGAGAGGAGAGAGGAGAGAGGAGAGAAGAGAGGAGAAGAGAAGAAAAGAAATAAGAGAGGACATGAAAAGAGAAAAAGAGAGAAGAGGAGGAGAAGAAAAAGAGGAAAGAAAAAACAGAGCAACAAAGAAACTAGCAAAACACCCACCAACCCATCAAAAACGACGGAAAGAAAGATAGAAAAAAAACGAGATAGAGAGACAGCGTAAGCCCCGCCCCCCTTACCGTCGAGGGAGGAGCTTCAGCCCTTAAGCTCCGCCCTCGCTCCAATCCAATTCTTCCAGGAGACAATAAACTCCGAGTTGTAATACATTGCAGAATCAAGATGAAAGTGAGATCAAGGGATATCTAGGCAATAAGCGCGACGGGATGATGTTTATCTTCGTCATTAAAATTCACTTGACCTTGAATTAGTAACAGGAACGGCCAATTGGGAAGGTTAGCAGTCAAGTGATTTTGCTGTCTTTGCGAAAATATCATATTAGGGAAAATAAAAAAAAGGTAAATATAGGAAGAAGAAGGGGAGAGGAAAAGGAAAAGCAATGGATAAAATAAATAGGAGAAAGAACAAATACCCAAGAAAAAGGAGGTAAACACAGGTAAAAAAAAGTGTGTATTTGAATAATATTTTTTCGAAGCTTTTCAAACTTACCTTCAATTCACTGTTCTTACAAAATAATTCTTGACAACTAAGATCTATCCATTTATTCCACATCCATCAAAATTCTACACGACGAGGGAAACCAATTTAGTTCTCCAAATTCAAATGAAAGTTTTAAAGTTTTTTGACAAGAATAGATTCACACTCGCACAAGACAAATAAATTCAAGTGATTAGATGCAGACAGAGATTCCAGAAGAGCCAAATGGAGCCAGCAGAGCCATCTCCGAGAACGAAGTGAATTTAGAGCAAAGGGAAACAGAGCCATTGCAAAGAAAAAAAAAAGGTCAAGGGAAACCGAGCGATGGGCGGTAGACAGACCAAAAGAAATAAGATGAAGTGGAGCTGAAGAATAGAAATAAATAAAAAGAAATGAACGAGAAGCAGTAGAATGAAAAGAAATGAAATGCCGACCAGCAGACGGACTCAAGGGAAACCGAGAGCAGCAGACAAACTCAAGACAAACGGGCGACGAGCAGAACGAACAGCAGGTAGACACAAGGGAAAGCGAGCTAGAGGCAGCAGACAGACTTAAGGGATGCCGAGAGCAGCAGGCAACCTCAAGGGAGAGCGAGCAGAACGAACAGAAGACAGACTCAAGGGAAAGCGGGCGACGGGCAGAACGAACAGCAGGTAGAATCAAGAGAAAGGAAACAGCAGGAAGACTCAAGGGAAAGCGAGCGGCGAGCAGCAGACAGACACAAAGGAAACATCAGAGAGACTCCAGTGAAACAGCAGACAGAAAAAAAGGCAGCAGACAGACTCAAGGGAAAGCGAGCCAAGAACAGCAGACAGACTCAAGGGAAAGCGGGCGACGAGACCGAGGACCACATGAACCCGATGCTTCTTTTATTACCTCGGGTGATCGATCATATTGTGACGGGAGGAAGGGGGGGGAAAGGGAGAGGAGGGGGGGGGGGTTCAGGGTCACACGGCTGGAGATATGGGTCGAGGTCGGGGGAGGGGGGGGGGGAGGAGAGAGGAGGGGAGGGGAGGGGAGGGGAGGGGAGGAGAGGGGAGGAGAGGGGAGGAGAGGGGAGGAATGAGGGGAAGAAAGGGGGGAGGGGGGAGAGAAAAAGAGTAAAGAGGGGAACAAGAGAGAAAAAAGGTCAGACAAGGGAGGGAGAGAAAGGAAAGAAAGAAGGGAAGGAAGGGAGAAGGAAAAAAGAGAAGAACAGGAGAGAAAGAGGTGAGACGGGAGGTAGGTAGAGAAAAAAAAACAGAAGCGGGAGAATAAGAAGGAAGGGAGACAGAGAAAGAAGAAGAGAAAGGCAGGAGAAAAGAGAGGAATCCAGGGAAGAGGAGAGGGAGGAAGGAGAGGAACGCTGAGAGGAAAGGGAGAAAGGAAGAAGAGAAAAATTAGAGGAGAAAGTAAGAGAGAGAGTGAGAGAGAGAGAGAAAGAGAGAGAGAGAGAGAGAGAGAGAGAGAGAGAGAGAGAGAGAGAGAGAGAGAGAGAGAGAGAGAGAGAGAGAGAGAGAGAGAGAGAGACAGACAGACAGACAGACAAACAAACAGACAGAAAGAGAAAGAGACAGAAAGGGAGACGAAACAATAGATAGATATACAGATAGCTATACAATCATATAAACAAATTGACAGACAAACAGACAAAGAAGAAAAAAACAGACAAAATAAATAAATAAATAAATAAAACATCAAAACGAACAAACAAACCGCAAACACAGACACACACACACACACACTCGACCAAGGAAAAGTAGTACTATATAGCTAATCCTCGAACTCACCTGCATAACGTCATGCTTGAGGAGGATGTACTTCTTGTCAGGCGAGACGTCGAACTCCTCGACCGTCAGGCGGCG